GTTTAGTGAGACCTCAAGGGGTTCATCAAAACCCAATTACTCTTCGTATAGGCAAAAAAGCAGCTGCAGATAGTATTAAAAATGAAATTTTAGTTACTGGAAAACAGTAATTCCTATAATAAGTCGCTTATTTTGAAGCTTTTCTTCACAATATGGAGAGAGCAGCGATCAATGAAACCTCAGATGGTATTATTCGTTAGAAAGCTGGACATATTTTTAGTCGTTATTTAATCAACTAACTACTAAATTCCTCTTAAGTGTGCCCGAAATAGTACCGTAAACTGGTGAAATGTATCTATCATGTAAAGTCATTAAGTGAACATCCCAACTTATTATCAATATCTTCCTACTCACTCTGACTCGTATGACTTTTTCTTCAGTCTAGTACGTCCAACCATTCGTTCCAACGGCCTTTTAATCGAAAATGATTCGCTTTCCGGAGCAATAGAAGCAAGAATCATCGTTTCAATGCCAAAAGTGGATGTTTCGGCCATAGTGGGTTCACATAATTTGCGAATTTCCCCAGAAGAATATGTGCCTATATTGCGTCGCCTTGATGGGAAAAAAAGTAAATTGTTTGTACGATGATGGATTGTGGGGACTCCGGCTTCTGGAAGGTCAATTAAAGCAAGCGGCCCAGGCCCAGAGACTGGAAGCAAGACTCTTTTCTTGCCAATGGCCTTTGTTTCTACAGATTTGATAGCAATCGTGTCTGCATCAGGTTCATTCGAAAGCCTTTCAGAATCTTCATTAATCACATTCTGCAGTGAGAAAAGGAAGGAAAATTTGTAATACTTCCACATAACAATCGCATATTACCGAAGATATAATGGGACCAGAAAAAAGTGTTTTCTTTGACCCATTATTATGATACGCGATTTGTGACCATTTACATCTTAGCAAATTGGCATTATCATTATATCTATACATCAGGGTACCTTATCATTTTTCGTATTTAAGTAGAGTTTCGAGACTACTATTAAATCAGTAATATGAGATGTATTCACCCTATTTCGTTTAAGGTGATGAAGGACTAGTAGTAGAATTTTACCACAATAACATGAGTAGAGCTGACATTTTCATTTAATTTCACATAGCCTTGCTTTACCCAAATTTGTTCTCATCCAGGGTGGACTGCAGTTTCGACCTCGCATAGGTCTTATCAACACCCTCAGCCGGAGTCGAACTGTGGCAGTGCAGAATGTGAGCTTGACACGTTACCCATTCGGCCACATTGCCACGAGTGCCCTTGAGTCACAGGGCAGATGTGAATTTCAAGGAAGGCCAGGCCTTTTTTTATATCATATTCTTTGGTGGGATTGTCGATGAAGCAAAAGTTACATATTCTTCGACAATCCCACCAAAGAATATGATATGGGAAAAGGCCTGGCCTTCCTTGAAATGCAGCTCTGCCATGTGACCTAAGGGCACTCGTGGCAATGTGGCTGAGTGGTTAACGTGTTAAGCTCACATTCTAAACTGTCACGGTTCGACTCCCGCTGGGGGTGTTGATTAGACCTATGCGAGGTCGAAACTGCAGTCCACCCTGGATGGGGACAACTTTTGAGAAAGCAAGGCTATGTGAAATTTAATGGAAACGACAGCTCTACTCATATCATTGTGGGAAAATTCTACTACCAGTCCTTCATCAAATTAAACGAAATAGGGTGAATACATCTCATATTAGTTTATAATTTCAAAATAAAGGCAATATTATGAAGTGAATTGAATGTTTCAAGGGAGATGCTTTTAAGTTCAGGCTGATATATGAAAGAGACAAATATATAAAGAGGAAGAATTAGCGAAGGCCTGAACAATACTAACACCAGGCAATATGTAACGGTTACAAAGAAACAAATTGCCTAAAATGATGGAGTGTAGAGCATTTTCTAGAAAGCATCTGCAATTAAGTCAGGTAAAGACCCCCCTACAATCCAAATATTATCGCTGGTAATACGAAAAATAGTAATACAAGTAAAATAATGTGGCTTTTTCTTTGGTCGTTGCCCCTCTTCGTCCAATAAAGCAAGATGGTGAAGTAATATAAATAATATATTTAATCATCTTAAGAATAAAAGAGTGATTTTAAACTCAGACACACTAATTTATATTCTTCTCTGAATAGTATTCCGATATCACATACAATTAGCTTACTTACTTCAATAGTCTCCAGAAAGATATTTCTCTTTAATAACTCAATAACGTCAGAGCTTTCTGTTGGTGAGTATCCCGAAATCGCCTCCGTTCCTCCTAACTGAGCGACAGCATCATCGTTACTAACAGGAACTTCTGTTTCATTTGATTCTACTTTTCCATTAAGTGAAAAGGGAGGGATATTTTCAGTAAATTCTTCTAAAAAAGTCGAATTTGATTGATGTCGGCTGGATCCCTTTGATGTGAGGTAATCAGTTTCAACTCCTGCTATAGACTCAATCTCACTTTCTTTGGTCAAGTCTGAGCAATTATGCTCTACTCCAACTCCATTCGTCTCATTCATTGCTGACATTTCAACTTCGTCACCAAAGGATCCCAAAACATTTGTTTTAAGCTTTATGAGATAATCTTCTACCTCCACACTCTCCCCTAGAGCACTAGTCTCCGTCGCAATATCCTGAAGCAACCAATCAGCTAGCTCTAATCTGTCAGAGGGCAACGACATTCGGTGATCACCGGAGTCGATGCCATCAAAGGTGGAATTGACCAAAATATTGGGTGGCGCAGAACGGAATGCCGACCTCACAATTAGGCTGGAAAGCACACGCTTTTTCTCATTATGGCTCAATCTGGCGTAGGAAACATGTCTGACAGGAACCAACGAGAAAAAGCACATGTACAACAGTGAGAAAATAATTTTGAATTGAATGTCTGATTTAAGTAGCATATCACGAATACAAATGCCCAGCGTAAACTAGACAACAAGATTTCTAGTTTCCTTTGTTTGTCCCTCGAATGCTCTACTACATCTGCAACGCATATATGGTTTTTTAGAAGTTGTTTAACCTTGTTTTCGCAACTTGGTCATATTTTGAGGAAGATCCAGAGGAACGCACGTCGTCCTGAGTTTATAGTATGAATGATGATTTTCAAAGTCGGAACGTTTATTTGATACATCTGCGATGTAAGTAGCTTAATAAAATTGAATTATTAATGAGTAATTTTCGCACAGTTCGAAAGATGTGCAGTAACTACCGCTATTATAATGTTTTTTTAAGGTCGATTTTTACCGAAGATAAACTCATAAACCGTATTCGCTAGGCAAACCAAATGCCAGCGTATGAATGTACCGAAGTGGTTATTCACTCAAAATTGTGTAAAGGAAACCCGCAACTTATCTATACTAATAAAGCTCCTTAGTAAGGCTACAGTAAAATTCAAGTCCCACGTAGTTTGAGCACCAATATAAAGACTAAAAATTAAAGATGAATGAACAATTCCGGTCAAGTTATTGAATTTATAGTCTGTATGGGAGAATTAAAAAGTGAACTAATACGCGTTTAAAGCGTGACCGTTATTATAACTATGATAAGAAAAGATTTGTTGAGCCACTTCTTTTTTCAGGCCGCTTAAAACCCTATCTAACATTGAGCCTATGAATTAAGCATAGGTAGGTCAAATTTAGCTTCTTACCGGCATTTATGATATCCAATGAATTGCTTAATTCG